TGGATCCGTTGTAAAGCCTTGTTTTTTTAGTTGTGATAGTTGCTTTGGTGTTGAACGCCTTGTCAGTGCTGCATGTTGTCTTTATCAATATTTTTCAGCCTTTTTACAAATCGCATTATATCCTAGCCAATGCACCGTATCATCCCAGCGATTCAACCAAACGTCGGTCGGTGCGAAGTGGCCTGGGACCACGGTGGTGATGATCTTAATGGCATATCGTTAAAAGTATACGACATAGAGATTTAAGAGATAGATCCATACCTGAACGTAATTCTGATCACCGCCGTAGTTGTCCGGCTGCCCTCCGGCCCAGTTTGTAAAGTCGAAGGGGCTACCGTTAGACCAGGCAAAATCGGTGCGGTTTGGACCTGTCTGAAACGAGAATCTCTCTCTCTCTCTCTGTTTCGCTCGCTCTCTAGCTCTCACTCTCTCTCTCTCTCTCGTGTTTAACCTACCCTTCTTCCTCCAATCCATGTCGCAGCTTTTGTGAACATCACGCCATCGGCCATCAATTGCACATAGGTATCGGCAAGGCCTGAAAAAAATAGTACTTTAATCACATTGCATACCAACAACGACGCGATGTTCTTCAGCAGAGTGAATTGATGCCAAATCACTGCCTAAAGACATGCAATCATTTCGAGCTGTCTCCCAGGTGAAACCATTGAAATCGCCGATTAGCTGAAATTTGGAACCTGACGCCCAGATTAATAGAACAGCAACGAGAGCCTTTTTTGAGAAGTGCTACAAAAAGCCGGCTTACCTTGTAGCAACTCTTCAGCTTCGACGAGTACAGCCACTCGTCATCACATGAGGCCCCCTAAAATTTAACTGAATTTTCATTTTTTTTCTTTTCCAAAACCTGATCCTGGCCCATACAAGCGATCGGAAAACCACCACTTTCCGCAATATCCCATTTTCCATCCAATAATCGGAGCACCAGGTAGCCGGAATTTGCTTTTTCTAATCGGGATTTGGGAGCCAGAATACAGTTTCTTACTATCGATCAAATTATTATATTCGGCCGTTGAATGATCGTCCCATTGGATGGTAGTCCCCTTCCAATACCCACCAAGCCATACGGTCGCCGTAATATCCTGAAAAACGAACCAATACCCTGATTTTGTTGGAATTATGATCTTTAAATTGCTAAAAATGCTTAAGCCACATTAAAAAGCATTTAACACACAATGAATATCATCGTAATGCCATATCTATCACTTATCTACACCTACCCCAATTTTCTTCAAAGCCTGATCACGCAATGCCATGTTATCAAAAGCGTTATGTAGAGAGGCACCGTTTTGATCAAAACTAAAGAAAAAGTCTACGATAAAAAAGTTTTCATACTTCATGCAATACTCCATCGCCTCCTGCCTCATCAACCTGATCGGATAAACAGAATAACAAGTCTGACCCGATGCGTCTCGGATCGAGTCCCTAGGACAATAAGCTAGAGTTCTACTGAAAAATGCGGCAGTCAATAATGTCGATAGTGTTTTCATTTTGGCAGAAAATCAGAGTTTCACTGAGTTTCCGAATTTCAAGCAATTCCTCCAGAGTGGATGGGCCTTATCTGTAAATATAGAAAAAGCCAAACCGGTCAATCCGGTGCGGGGGCAAAGAATTGGTCAAAAGGTGTGGTCTGATGAGTAATAATTTCGCATCCCTTTAGTTCTAAAAACGTATGATATTTACCCTACCTTTCCCCATTCCAAGAGTCCAAAAAAGTTCGATATTCCGTTAGTTTTCGGGATTTTTTGCGACGCTTTTTAAACGTTTGTGCTATTCATACAAAATTTACCCAAAGCCGTTCCGTAGCGCGTCCATAAATATACAAAGCGGTTTAATTCAACCCATAACGGTGTAAAATAAACTACCTATGTTGAAACGAGATTCAGAAGTAAATTTCACATAGCGAGCTACCCGACATTTGCGCCCCGACAATTTGCGCCCCGCAGTTTGATATGGAATCGGGGCGAAATGGTCGGGGCGCAAATGTCGTGGTACCCACATAGCGATATGTCGAAATATTTCAATTTGTCTATTTCCGCTAAACTAAGTCTGTCTGACTGTAGAGCTCCGTTCCAATACCCCATGTCAAAAACGTTTTTTTGTAATCTGCGTATTAACATGTTCTTGAAATACCGACGCACGGAAGGGTTTAACCAGGAGAAGCGCCTAATCCTGGATAAGTTTGCCAGTGTTGATAAGGGTCTTTTTAAGACCACCGTGAAGTTGTAAAGAGCCGGAAGTAGACGCAAGCTAGCGTAAAATGAAGCTCGTATTTCTAACCGCACTTGTAACAACATCATTTGGTTTTTGTCCACTAGATTCAGAGCGTGACAGCTCGGGCGAATGCTGCTATTCGGTCTACCCGTATAAATGGACACATATGCAGGCGATGGCACATTGTAAAAAGTAAGAGATTGAGCGGGAAGTAGTGAGAATGAAGGATATTCAGACAATTGTTGTAATTTTAAGGCTTGACTTTAAGTTGCGTGGCTCGAAGTAATAATTTCTAGCTTCGCTCAAGCCGGCGCCTCGATTCACAACGCTTTTGATAACGTCGCCCTGGTCGATCAGGCGCTGAGAAAAGCCCAGGTAGAATTTTATTTAATTGTTGAATTATAAGAGCGGTTTCTTAATCCATAATTTAAACTAAAGTTCTATCTTTTGTAATTTTTCAAACTATATGTGCCTTAAAATAGCTTTTCTTGTGTCCTCAAAACGGCCGATTTTAGGGTCAGGTACACGTGTGGCTGGGCGGGTATTGGAATGGCAGAACCGTTGAATGGTACGACAACTCAACGGCCGTTTATACCAATCTTGCGGATAGTGAGTAATATAAGTAATATTGACTAGATATACCTTACTAGGGAGGTATCTGAACTCGGCATCGAACCTTCAGAAGTCAGATACACCCTTCGACGCGCCTTGTCGAGGGGATTCCAAATATGTAATAAAATCAACCAGAGCGTATAACCGTAAAAAGTTATGAGCATTCGAAGTCGACAAACTGGTGATAAACAGTATCTTTTAGACCCTGTATCATCCCGCGGAATGGAATTTAGTCTAAACTGATTATCATCCTTATTCAACAAAGAAACAAAAAATAAAAATCGTGAGTGGATCCGAACCCTGGTCGTACAGACCGGAGACCCATGCGCACACCACTAGGCCACGAGGCCGATGAACAGGGTGCGCTGGGAGGGGCTCATATCGCCGCGGCGGTGTTCGCTGCAAAACTTAAAATGCTCATAACTTTTTATCGTTATAGGCTCTGGTTGATTTTATTACATATTTGGGATCCCCTCGACAAGGCGCGTCGAATGGTGTATCTGACTTTTCAAAGTTCGATGCCGAGTTCAGATACCTCCCTAGTTAGGAGATACCTATGCATTTACAAATCTTGGTTTCTCTTAGAAAATGTAAAGTTTACAAGATACCTTTAGAAAACATGGACCCTGGCTATCTACTACTCCGAAAAACCGATGAGAAATGGGTAACGCTAGAAGGCGGTGAGCATGCTGTTGCTTGTATGGGTCAGGATCAGGTATTTTATCAGTTGAATTTTTGTTAAATCGATATTCAGGATCCGCCTTGTGATGACGAGTGGCTGTACTCGACCAAGTTGAAAAGTTGTTACAAGGTAGATATATTTGAGATGCAGAGGCCCCTTAGTTCGTTTAATATTGAGTTTTCAAAACATTTAGAAGCTGTGAATCGACCCTTTGCGTACGCTAGACCTCGAAAGTTATGCTACGGGTTCCGGTCAAGTGTGCCGTCATTTGCAATAACGCGTAGTCTTCGACACACTGCATAACGTATACCATCCACAGAAACGCTCAATTCTGTTGCTGCCCATCTCCTTCAACCCAGCTTAACTTTCGAAAAATTTCTAGAACCTTGTTCAATATGTAAAATCTTTAGAGAATCGGCAAATTTTCCGGCATCACCTGGGAGCAAGCTCGAGCGGAATGTCAAGTTTTCAGAGCCGAGCTCACGTCGATCCACTCTGATGAAGAGAATCGCATTGTTGTAGGTACGACTGCATAACTTTGGCTTGTTTTGTCTTTGTAAGCCGCGGTTGTTAAAAAGCGTATTGTCAGTTTTGAGCCTTACCTTTTTAGAGCTAGCCGACACTTACCTCGACATCCAGCTAAACTATGCTAATTGGACAACTGCCGCTACATGGATTGGTGGATATCGGGTAGTAGTATTAGGTTGAACCGAAAGTAATTGTAATCGATCTTCAGGACAAGATTTATAATATTTCTACCAAGTAGCAAACTGGCTTTACCTTCCTTTGTTTGGTCTAGCAAGGTGCTATATACCCTAGAAATACCAAGCGGATCCTAGCCCTAACACTCTTTTTATAACTGATTTTGCCTGCGGCATAGTGTCACCCGAGGCGCCGACATCCGGAATCCTCTTTGTTTCCAGCCCTATAATGATTACCGATGCCGTAATCCCCCCATCGTAATTGGTAATGTATAATGCCCCAGTGATATCTTTCTAGCTATGGTGTCAAATTCAGCAAACGGATTTACAGTCGGCCGATATTCTCATTTGTTTGGATAAAAATCCGACTTTTTGGTGAGCTTGACTAAAATGCTGTCTTAAATTTATTGAGGATAATGAAATTAAATCTGATCCTTATCATAGGCAGTTTTGTTGACACACCTTCTACCGATCCCAGCTATCTTCCCACCCTTTTTTATCTGAACAAGCTCTTCAAATTAGTGAGGCACCAAGTGACCGACCCGGAGGTCGGCTGGCGACACACAATCTGCATTGCTTTACTCTTTCACCTTTGCCAATCAAGGGTGTTTCTATAGTGCGAGTATTGTGGTCATCCCTGGTAGATACTGTTTTACAATTACCAATATTCTAAGCCCATTCTTTCACGGAGAAAAAATAAAACCAAAATGTGCTCCAAATTAGGATTCAATTGTCAATTCAAGACGGAGACAGAACATTTCTTCTTAGGTGATTTACGGACATAAAACAGCTTTAATTAAGCTTCTGTTGATAGAGTCCACTCAAAAGTTATCCACTAAACTCGGAGAAACGGCCGACAAAGGAATGTGTCGATTCCCGGCCCGAAACCCCAGATTGACATCTTTTAAATTGACCTCGGAAAATAATGCAGCTAGCTATTAATAGTTTCTTTAATGCACTGCATAGCTTAAATTTTCGCTATCTGCTATCACTTATTCAAGTCACTAAGATTCAGAACGGCCGGCGATATCCTTCACCGAAACCCACCCGCGAAATCCAGTTTGCGAGCACCCTTTTCCAGCTAATTAAAAAATTTGTAGCAGTTCCGAGTTAAAAATAAAACTGAAACTGGATTAAGGCTTGACCCTCAATCATAGCAAAAAATTAGAATGAACGAATGGTGGCTTCCGTAAAATTTTTGCACTCGAAAAATTACAATTACTTTCGGTTCAACCTAA